ACTCTTGAGTCCACAGGCCGATGCTCTATCCACTGAGCCAAACCAGTTTCGGCAGGGGATCCTCTTCTGTGCTTGCCTGCATCTGCTCCCATTCTGGGGCACAGTGTGTTTCACATATCTCTGACTGTCTCCCCATCTCTCTAGTGGTCCTTTCAGACGTGACTGGCTCTGAGCTGTGCACCACAGGGACAAGGATGGAGTGGGCTTGTGCACTGGGCTTCATTTACTCCTAGGCAGGGCCAATCCCATCATCTGCTCTTCCCCATGACTAAGCTCCTGGTGATGAGATGATTTTGCTGGACTTCCTTTTGGTTAACACTCTCCTCTATCTTTTACTATAAAAAGGAACCTGGGAACTGTATGTCCTGCCTTTCCCAGTTTTGAAGTCACAGAATTGGTGGTCACAGCTCAGATGCTACACTGACCGAATTCCCCTTCAAACCTTCCCCAATTCCTCTAATCCACCATAATCTGAAATCTCGACAAAAGTCTGAAATAAGGCCATATTCCCTTAATTTTTATCTATGAAGGCCAATCTTACATTTAAAAAAATTATGTAAAAGAGCTATTACTAAACACATTAACTGCATTATTTCAATGTCATTTTTATTTACTACTTTAGATATATTTTCTATTCAGAATATATAATTGTATTTAGTATAAAAATATTAAAACTTATAGTTATGGAAAACCCTTTTCACGAAGATGGCGCCGAAAGCGAAGAAGGAAGCCCCTGCCCCTCCCAAAGCCGAAGCCAAAGCAAAGGCTTTGAAGGCAAAGAAAGCAGTGTTGAAAGGCGTCCACAGCCACAAAAAAAAGAAGATCCACACGTCACCCACCTTCCGACGGCCAAAGACACTAAGGCTCCGGAGGCAACCTAAATATCCTCGGAAGAGCGCACCCAGGAGAAACAAGCTTGACCACTATGCCATCATCAAGTTCCCCCTGACTACTGAGTCAGCCATGAAGAAGATAGAAGACAATAATACACTTGTGTTCATTGTGGATGTCAAGGCCAACAAGCACCAGATCAAACAGGCTGTGAAGAAGCTCTATGACATTGATGTGGCCAAGGTCAACACCCTGATCAGGCCTGATGGCGAGAAGAAGGCATATGTTCGACTGGCTCCTGACTATGATGCTTTGGATGTTGCCAACAAAATTGGAATCATCTAAACTGAGTCCAGCTGCCTAATTCTAAATATAAAAATTTTACACTGTAAAAAAAAACAAAAAAAAACACAAAAAAAACTTATAGTTATGACTTTGTGTATACATGCACACATTCATTTGATCAAAAATTGTGCAGAAATTAACAAAACGTGTGTATATATATATGCTGCTTATACACAAAAACATCTGCTTTGGCTTTTTTTTTTTTTTTTTCCTGACCAGGTTAAATATGCCAGCAGATGATCTCATGCCTCATAATCTTTTCAATGCAAATTTTCTCAGACATATTGCACTTGAGCACCTGTCAAAGTGTATTTACTCGTCATGAGGAACCTAGCAAGGAGAGAGTGCACTTACTCACAGTGACTGGAGAAATGAGGTTTCTATACTTTCAGTAAGGAGTTAATACATACAGCTCTCCACGGAGCACAAATCATTAATGGCTACTGCTGTTTTATTTGTCATAGTCATAAAAATGTCATGCTTTTGTTAATCAACCCAAATTAAACTTAGGACATGTCCCTTCGGAGCTGTCTTCCCAGAAATGCTATTAGGAGAAACAATAAGTGATGTGTCTGTAAGCCGACTGATCTGTGGATCTGTGGGTGCTTATCAGCTCCATGCAGCAGGGTGTGATCTCCGGCAAAGAGACACCCACAGTGTCCTGGGGAGTTTTGTCCACAGAGTGGTGGGATCTTAGCTTCTTTTTCAAGCAATTGTCTATCAGTCTCCTCAGCATTCAGTGCAAAATGCAGAACCGCCATTTATCCACTTCTCAGTTGGAAGACTAAAATTTTGTTTCTCAATTTCAATTGTTAAAAAAAAACAACACCTCATATATATATATTATTGATTTTTTACAGAGAGGAAGGGAGAGGGGTAGAAACATTGATGAGAGAAACATCGACAAGCTGTCTCCTGCACACACCCCACCAGGATGTGCCAGCAACCGAACCTGGGACCTTTTAGTCCTTAGACTGACGCTCTATCCACTGAGCCAAACCGGTCTCGGCTCACCTCTTTTTTATTTTAATAGTTTCATGTTGCTAGTTTTGAGCTGCTCAGTACTGCTTCTTTTCCTGTGTTCAGCTTTGAGAAGCAGTCCTTCCTAACAAAAGCTGAATGTTATAATAGTAAAGAGAATCTTGGAACTATTAGGAGACATTTCCTCCCTTGAAACAACAAAAAAAGAGATTGATATAGTTCTGCATTGTGAACTGTTCATGTATGAAAAGCCCAGGCTCCTTTCTAAGGTCAATACCTCCTGTTTTGTACTTGATCTTATCCATTTGAACTGATCCAGGGCATATTTCTGGAATTCCTGCTGCTCCCTCTATTGCACTATCAATATTTCCTTCAGTACTTGATCTTCCCTGTCACCATACAAACCTGCGATTACTGCAGAATTCTAGAGCCTTCTGAGGATATCTGATAGTAGGCCATTAAAATGCCTTCTTCTATTCTTAAACAGTTTTTTTTTAAATATATTTTATTGATTTTGTACAGAGAGGAAGGGAGAGAGATAGAGAGTTAGAAACATCGATGAGAGAGAGTCATTGATCAGCTGCCTCTTGCACACCCCCCACTGGGGATATGCCCGCAACCAAGGTACATGCCCTTGACCGGAATTGAACCCGGGACCTTTCAGTCCCCAAGCCGATGCTCTATCCATTGAGACAAACCGGTCCTGTCGACATGCGCTGTATTTTTTATTGGGAAGGGAAAACAAAGACAAATGCATAAGTGTACTTCTGCTCATATATAAACAGAAGGCTTCAGTTTTGTTTCTAACGTGATTTCTCTTAAACTGTCATAAAAGATGCTTTGAGCCCTGACAGCATGGCAATACAACATCTTGGATGATCCCTTCTCACTCACCCATCCAATCCTCTGAGATTCCACAGTCTGTTCTATACCTCTATGTCTCTGGATCTATTTCGTTCATCAGTTTATTTTGTTCATTAGATTCCACATATGAGTGAGATCATGTGATACTTATCTTTCTCTGACTGGCTTGTGAGGGTGCATTTTATCTCAAAGTTTGATACCCCTGCATACCCGGCTTGTCTTTTTCCTTCATCTAGGAAGCTATTGCCGTCCGTGAACAATACTAAGTCTGGATTCTGTAGAGGCGTATCTGTTAGATCTGGCTGGCTAGAGTAGACCTCCTCTAGGACTTCTAGACAATCATGCTCAGGGATCCCCTCTGCAACGGGAAGGAAAGTGGCATATGCCCTAAGCTGGAATCAAACCGTGACCTTCCTGGTTCATAGGTTGATGCTCAACCACTGAGCCATGCCGGCTGGACTCCATAAACTATTATTTAAAAATAAATACATAAGTTGCCGGGGCAGGTTTGGCTCAATGGATAGAGCGTCGGCTTGGGGACTGAAGGGTCCCGGGTTCGATTCCGGTCAAGGGCATGTACCTTGGTTGCGGGCATATCCCCAGTAGGGGGTATGTAAGAGGCAGCTGATTGATGACTCTCTCTCATCGATATTTCTAACTCTCTATCTCTCTCCCTTCCTTCTGTACAAAATCAATAAAATATATATTTTAAAAATAAATACATAAGTAAATCAACATGTAATCAAATTCCTTTGACATAAAGTTTGCATGCCCCTTTAAGTAAATATATTTTATTTTATTGCAGAAATTTGAAAAATATAAAGTAAAAAATAAATAATAAAATGAAAATCCAACCACATGAAATGAGTGTTTTCTTTCCCTCTAGCCTAGGGGTGTCAAACTCAATCAGAGAAGGGGCCAAAATCTAAAATCCAGCCTAAATCGTGGGCCGAATGGTTTACTGAAGAGTCATAAACTGTCATTGTGATGGAAACGCAGCGGAGTGCAGTGATGACAGCGCAGTGCGGGCCACATTGCAAGGCCTGGCGGGACGGATTTGGCCCGCGGGCCTTGTGTTTGACACATGTGCTGTAGCCTTTTAAGATAGTGTCTCCTGCTATGGTGAGAGAATGTGTAAAGTTCCAGTAGGAAAATATCATAAAATATTAGGATCCCAGATATTGACATCATAGGAATGTGATGAGGATGAGAATGATTATTCATTGCTAGCAAAATCCTATATTTCACCAAACAAACAAAAAAATCCTATATAATAAAAGCCTAATATGCAAATCAACCAAATGGCAGAATAACAGGTTGGCGGGGGCTGGGACCAGCCAAGGAGGGTGCTAGCAGGCAGAGGGATGGGAAGGCAATCAGGGAAGGCAATCAGGGTGGCAATCGGTGGTGGTGGGGCAGCCATGGGGGAGCAGGGTTACTCGCTGGCCAGTACCAGCCTCCAACTGGCCCACCAGCCACCTCTCACAGGTGGCAACGATTGGCCCTCCAGTTGCCTCCTGCAGAGGGAGACCACCAGTGGCAGTGGGAAACGGGGCTGGCCAGCGCCATCCCCCAATCAGCCCACTGGTTGCCTCCTTCAGAGGGAGGCCAAACTGCTCTTTAACATTAGGTCAAAGTTTCCCTATTCCATATGTCCTGAAATTTTCATAACTTCTTATCAAACACACAATATCAGTCAATAGAGCGTTGACCTGATGACTGAAGGGTCCCAGATTCCATTCCGGTCAAGGGCATGTATCTTGGTTGCAGGCACATCCCCAGTAGAGAGTGTGCAGGAGGCAGCTGATCGATGATTCTCTCTCATTGGTGTTTCTAACTCTCTATCCCTCTCTCTTTCTCTCTGTAAAAAAAATCTATAAAATATATTAAACACATACACACACACACACAATATAGTATACAGATGATATATCATACAACTGCACACCAAAAAACTATAATTTCAGAATGTCACCCCAATAAATTCAATCAATGAACAAGAACAAGAATACACATGTCTCAGATATGCCTCAAGTTTATTAAAGATGCCCTATACACACATCTGCTACTAAAAATTGAAATAGGACATTAAAAAATGTTACAATTCCAATAACTACAAGAATAAGGTGTATATTTAAAATGGCTCCATGCCATAATTGTCAATAATACAATCAAGAGGACCTGGATGTAAAAGGCAATGACTACAGCCACATTTAAATCCTGGTTTATTCTGAAAAAAAAAAGAAAAAGAAAAATAGATTAATTGTGTTAGGAATAATGAAAGCATCAAATCTAAACAGCATTTGTAATAGGATACACTAAAAAAAGAAAAACAAATAATCTTTATGGTGGTGATAGCAGGGAGGAGGCAGAATTGAAATGATTGAGTACCAAAGAATACCATAGCTTGGGCCATTTTGTAAGGTTAACAGCTACGGATTTTTAATTAGAGATTTGTCCAATACCACACAGTTTTGGCATGAGCATACAGTTTGTGACAGCATATAGACAAGTAAGCATACACCAAGAGTGAGCCTTAATGTAAACTACATTTAGGTGATAATAATCCGTCAATGTAGATTCATCACCTATAACAAACACTGCCACTCTGGTGTGGGATGCTGAGAGTGAGGAGGCTCTGAGAGTGTGTGGGGTCAGAAGGTCCATGGGAATTCTGCATTTTCTGCTCAATTTTGCTGTGAGCCTAAAGCAGCTCTAAATATATTGTATAATGAGCATTCCCACCCTCCTGTTGGGAGAACTGTAGGCCCAGACGCTAAAACTCACCAGGTACAAGGTGCGATATTTAATAGCATCCAACCTTCTTATCATCCTCAGTCGAAGCCTTTCTCTCATTTTCTTCACTTCTTCCTGAACACTAGCCACTGTCCTGGCTCCACGTCTCCTCGTGTAAAGCAGGCGTGGATTCAGCCCCAGTCCTGACGACGCCTTCGAGTTGTTTCCTGTGTCCTGCTGTTGGGGTGAATGTTCTGGTGGAACGGAAGGGGATGCGGTACTAGGGTTGAGAGTCATGTCACTAAGGTTCTGTGCTAGTCCTTCTGAGACAGCTTGAGTATCAGCTGAAAGAAGAAAAAAAATTAAGAGCCATTAGGGCAGTGGTAGGCAAACTCATTAGTCAACAGAGCCAAATATCCACAGTACAACGACAGAAATTTCTTTTGAGAGCCAAATTTTTTAAACTTAAACTTCTAACGCCACTTCTTCAAAATAGACTCGCCCAGGCCGTGGTATTTTGTGGGAGAGCCACCCTCAAGGGGCCAAAGAGCCAAATGTGGCTCGTAAGCTGCAGTTTGCTGACCACAGCATTAGGGTAAACTGACTTATCCCCAGCTCATTAGTCTCAGGCTCAAACTAGGCCTGCTCTTAAACAGGTGAACATGGACAATGGGGGTCTCTCAAGTGGAGGATTCCTTCTACCTCCTGCGTTACCTAGTGCTAGTTGAGAACTCTGCACAGTTAATTTTCTTTTTCCTGTTTTTGTTATTTCTGAGCATTATATTTTTTCATGACATCAAAAGTAGCTAAGTACATAATTCCAAGAGGAAGATTATGGGACAGAAACTAGGCATTGGAAGTTACTTCATTTACATTTGTGTGAACGCTTAATACAAATGAGAGGACATAAAGCATTAATAAATCACAATGTTCCAGCAGTTCAACTTTAATCCACTAAAATTTCCTGGGGAAAAACCCCCACTCTGGTGAAATAGCCAAAGAAAACCCACTTACAACTGTCTCCCCTCAGCCTTAAGCAGAGCGAGGAAGTTTACGTGGCTTATGCCCTCTCTCGGTTACACCCGGATTGTTCATGGTAGTAAATCTTTCTATTCAAACCCGATATTATGGGAAGTCAACCACTTAAATCTTCACTCTTCCCATGCAAACCACTATGCATACCTCATACACATTCATGTCATACATAAGGCTGTGAATGGGCTCACAGTATAAATTACCATATTTTCCGGCATATAAGACGACTCCCCTAATTTTACAGTTAAGACATAGGTTTAGGCCAATATTCGCTGTATAAGACTACCCCGCACTTCAAAGAAAAGGCTTACTTTGCCGTCAAGATCTGCAGGTAATTTTTGTCTTTTGCCCCTGATTTTCGGTTGACTTTTTTTCGTTTCAAAAGTCTTCTTATACACCGGAAAATGCCGGTAGGACTTTCTTAGAAGCAGTGTGCTCCAGGATCCTGCTAATAAACTTGCTGCATTTTCCTGAGGCCTAATTTTTCTGGGAGGCTCACCCACTCCCAGACTCACTCCTCTGAAACATGATCCTGACCAATGGTGGCTGAGTAGTTTGGGTGATGATGTAGGACCTGAAGCACATTCACTGGTGTTTATAAACCCAACCCTTCCCTCTGTTTCCTGAAAAGCCATTTTCCTGTTTACTAACATTCCCTACAGGGAAGAGTTAGCTAGAAAAACAAGCCTGAAAATGTTGGCAAGATTAAGAAACCTTGCCTAGTGGTGAGACCTATGAAACGGGGGAGGTTATGGTTGGATTCTGGGTCAGGGCACATGTCCCAGTTTCGGGTTGATCCCCAGAGGGAAGGTGTGCAGGAGGCAGCCAATCAATGATTCTCTCTCAACATGGATATTTCTATCTTTCTCACTCTTCCTTCCTCTCTGAAATCAAGAATAGGAAATATATAAAAACTTGAGGTTATGTTTCTTGTGTTTTGTTCCTTTCCACCATTCCTGACATCTGTTGCAGATGGAAATATTGATTGCGAGATCCTATGAACCATCCTATCAGAATTTTGGTTGCTCTTCCCCAGAAAGTGGACTGAAAAGATTGCATTGTAAGCAAGCAAGACAGTTTATATACTCTTCCCCTCTTCCCTCTCCCCAAGACTAAAAAACTGTGCTCCTCCCCTTCCCCCCGAAGAATCCTACTCAACTGTGTCCTTTAAAACACTGAAGTCACCCTAAGTAAGGAGCGGAGGCTCTTCACTTCCCAACCCCTATAGTCAAAAAGGACAGCAGCCATCATACCTGAATATCCTTCACCAGGCGTCTGAGAAAACTCCTGGGTCGAGAGTGTGCTACGCTTCGCTGGTGAGTCCATTGGAAGTCTAGTCACAGCCTGAAGTTCTCCTAGATTCCGTCCAAAAAGAGCTCAAGCAGATGCTCAAAGCTCTCAAATCAATACAAGGTAGGCCAGAAAGAGCAGGATCAAAGAGTGGGGAAAGAGCTAACCTAGATAATGCAGGTAAGCCAATCAAGCAGCCTATTTGAATGTAAATGATGGATGATTACAAGGGTCAGGTGAGTGAAAGTAATCCTGTTAGTGGACTAATAGGTGATTGTGCAACTCCTCCCTATTAAAATAATCAAGCCAAGGAGAAGAAATGAGGAACCTTTGTAATAATATGAACAATAAAGATTGATTAAAAAAAATAAAAAAATAAAATAAAATAGTCAAGCCCTCTTGGCCATTGGCTGGCAAATGTATCAGGAGCCTCTAGGGCGTGTCTCCCTAAGGTTGCCTTAACATTTAGGGTAGTTTCCCCACCCACCCTTTTTTTCTCTCCAAATTTCACTTCCTGAGATGACTACTGGTTTGTGAATGGGACTAGGTGTGCTCTAGAGCAGAAAAGGGCAGTTTCCCCCCATTTTCAGATTAACTCCCAGTTACGTTAATTGAGAAAGTTTCCTTAACGTTTTCCTGGCCTGGCTCATCCTGAATCTTTGATGCTTCTAAGGGGAAGTCTGCTAATGAGGGAAACTAGAGGAGCAATAAGTGTCTGCTTTAAACAGCTGATTGGCTTGATGCTTTAAATTTGTGTTATTTTATAAGCTACACCTTTATTTATTTATATATATATATATATTTATTTATTTATTAAAGTATTATCTGTGTACATATTTTACCATTGCCTCCCTCCTTCTCCCTATAAGCTACACCTTTAAATGCAAAGAGCACCAACATTAACTGCTGATTTTCTACAGGAAGTAGAACAAATCCCCAGCCGCACCAATCTTTTCATCTCCTGTTCCATGTACAACCTTCCCACCCCCTTTTCAGCTGGAAACTGTGAGAAAGTTCTCAAAGGCAATCTTGTTTGTTTTTAGTAAAAAGCCAGAGGTGAAATTATGACCTAGAATTTGTTTTTAATCTTTATTGTTGAAAATATTACATTTGTCCCCTTTTTTCTCCCATTAACCTCTTACAAGCCCCCGGCCTCCAGCCACAGGCACCAGGCCCCAGGCCCCAGGTCTCCACCAATCTATTGTCTGTGTCTCAGGCTTATGCATATTTATTTATTCCTTTATTATTTGTTAGTCCTTACCTGAGATAAAGAGAGCGGAAGGGAGGAAGGGCTGGGAAGAAAGAGAAATTTGGATGTGAGAGAGACACCTGGACTGGTTCCCTCCCTGGCCCACCTAGGCCTGGGGCTAGGATGGGGGATGGAGCCTGAAACCAAGATACAGGCCCTTGGTAAGAACCAAATCTAGGAAGCTTCAGTCCCAGTGGGCCCATGCTCTATCAACTGAGCCAAACGGGCTGGGGCTTATGCATATATCTTTGCAAAAGAACACTTATTTGGTAAATCACGGAGGTAGAAAAAGTAATTGGCAGAAGACGTGGGATTAGGAAACAAGGTAAAGAAGTAAAGGAAGCGCCCTGGGAGCTTGGGAATGAGGAAGCTAATGGTGAGGTGCCTGGGGCAGGGAGGGGGAAGGGAAAGGCAGGGGTAAGTTCCCTGGAGTAAGGGCTCAGGGCCAGAGGTGTGGCTCTAGAGTAGGGGTGTCGAACTCAATCAGAGAAGGGGCCAAAATCTAAAATCCAGCCTAAATCGCGGGCCGAATGGTTTACTGAACAGTCATAAACTGACAATGTTAACCAGAAATGTGAATTTAAAATGAGTGAAACAATCTTTTCCGTAACAGTGCTGTTAACCAACTCACATGCTATCAAGGATTTGGCCCTCGGGCCTTGTGTTTGACACATGTGCTCTAGAGCAACAAAGCCCACTAAATTCATTTACCTTCCTATAAACCCCCCTCTTTAGTTCAAAATACTTATGATTGGCTTTATGAAACCAACATCCTTCTAGGGTAAACTGACATTTCTTTCCCTGTGCCATTCAAATATAAATACCTGGCATTCTTTTAAAAATCTTATCTGAGCCCTAGCTGATTTGGGTCAGTGGTTAGAGTTCCAGGCTTCATTCCAGTCAAGGGCGCATGCCTGAGTCCTGTGCTAGAGGCAACCAATCAATGATACTCTTCATTGATGTGTCTATCTCTCTCCCTCTCCATTCTTCTCTTAAGGGAACTTTAAAAAAAATCTTATCTGAGCCATATTTTAAAATTCAAGTTTTGCCTGCCCAGTGTGGCTCAGTGGTTAAGAATCTAGTCATGAACCAAGAGGACACTGGTTGGATTCCAGGTCAGGGCACATGCCCAGGTCTCAGGATGGATCCCAGGTAGAGGGAGTGCAGGAGGCTGATGTTCAATGATGTTTCTCATAGTCTCTCTATCCCTCTTCCATCCTCTCTCTTTAAAAACCGATAAACCAATGAAGGTGGGAGGGTAGATGACAGATTTTATGTATATTTTGTTTCCCAAAAAAATTCTCATCTGCAGGGCTTATGCCCTCTCTCGGTTACACCCGGATTGTTCATGGTAGTAAATCTTTCTATTCAAACCCGATATTATGGGAAGTCAACCACTTTTGCCTATTCCCATGCAAACCACTATGCATACCTCATACACATTCATGTCACACATAAGGCTGTGAATGGGCTCACAGTATAAATTAGGACTTTCTTAGAAGCAGTGCTCCAGGGTCCTGCTGAGAACCTTGCTGCATTTTCCTGAGGCCTAATTTTTCTGGGAGGCTCACCCACTCCCAGACTCACTCCTCTGAAACATGATCCTGACCAATGGTGGCTGAGTAGTTTGGGTGATGATGTAGGACCTGAAGCACATTCACTGGTATTTATAAACCCAACCCTTCCCTCTGTTTCCTGAAAAGCCATTTTCCTGTTTACTAACATTCCCTACAGGGAAGAGTTAGCTAGAAAAACAAGCCTGAAAATGTTGGCAAGATTAAGAAACCTTGCCTAGTGGTTGAGACCTATGAAACGGGGGAGGTTATGGTTGGATTCTGGGTCAGGGCACATGTCCTGGTTTCGGGTTGATCCCCAGAGGGAAAGTGTGCAGGAGGAAGCCAATTAATGATTCTCTCTCAACATGGATATTTCTCTTTCTCACTCTCCTTCCTCTCTGAAATCAAGAATAGAAAATATACAAAAACTTGAGGTTATGTTTCTTGTGTTCTGTTCCTTTCCACCATTCCTGACATCTGTTGCAGAGGGAAATATTGATTGCGAGATCCTATGAACCATCCTATCAGAATTTTGGTTGCTCTTTCCCAGAAAGTGGACTGAAAAGATTGCATTGTAAGCAAGCAAGACAGTTTATATACTCTTTACTTCTTCCCTCTCCCCAAGATTAAAAAACCATGCCCCCCCCCCACCCCCAGGATCCTACTCAACTGTGTCCTTTAAAACACTGACGTCACCCTAAGTTAGGAGGCAAAGCTCTTCACTTCCCAACCCCTATAGTCAAAAAGGACAGCATCCGCCCAAACCGATTTGGCTCAATGGATAGAGCGTCGGCTTGGGGACTGAAAGGTCCCGGGTTCGATTCCGGTCAAGGGCATGTGCCTTGGTTGCGGGCATATCCCCAGTGGGGGGGGTGCAAGAGACAGCTGATCGATGACTCTCTCTCATTGATGTTTCTAACTCTCTATCTCTCTCCCTTCATCTCTGTACAAAATCAATAAAATATATTTAAAAAAAAGTTAAAAAAGAAAGAAAATATTACATTTGTCCCCTTTTTTCTCCCATTAACCTCTTACAATCCCCAGGCCCCCAGCCCCCAGGTCTCCACCAATCTATTGTCTGTGTCCCAGACTTATGCTTATTTATTTATTTATTTATTTATCCTTACCTGAGATTAAAGAGTGGAAGATAGGTGGGAAAGAAAGAGAAATTTGGATGTGAGAGATATACCTGGACTGGTGGCCATGCAGGCCCACTTAGGCCTGGGGCTAGGGTGGGGGATGGAGCCTGAAACCAAGGAATCTAGGATGCTTCAGTCCTAGCAGGCCCAAGGTCTATCAACTGAGCCAAACGGGCTGGGGCTTATGCATATATTTTTGCAAAAGAACACTTATTTGGTAAATCACGGAGGTAGAAAAAGTAATTGGCAGAAGACATGGGATTAGGAAACAAGGTAAAGAAGTAAAAGAAGCGCCCTGGGAGCTTGGGAATGAGGAAGCTAATGGTGAGGTGCCTGGGGCAGGGAGGGGGAAGGGGAAGGGAAAGGGAAAAGCTGGGGATGCTCCCAGGAGTAAGGGCTCCTATAGGTAAAGCCTTTATAGGGCCAGAGGTGTGGCTCTAGAGCACATGTGTCCAACACAAGGCCCGCGGGCCAAATCCGTCCCGCGGGCCAAATCCGTCCCGCCAGGCCTTGCAATGTGGCCCCCACTGCGCTGTCATCACTGCACTCCGCTGCATTTCCATCACAATGACAGTTTATGACTGTTCAGTAAACCATTCGGCCCGCGATTTAGGCTGGATTTTAGATTTTGGCCCCTTCTCTGATTGAGTTCGACACCCCTACTCTAGAGCAACAAAGCCCACTAAATTCATTTACCTTCCTATAAACCCCCCTCTTTAGCTCAAAATACTTATAATTGGCTTTATGAACCCAACATCCTTCTAGGGTAAACTGGCATTTCTTTCCCTCTGCCATTCAAATATAAATACCTGGCATTCTTTTAAAAACCTTATCTGAGCCCTAGCTGATTTGGCTCAGTGCTTAGAGTTCCAGACTTGATTCCAGTCAAGGGCGCATGCCCGAATCCTGTGCTTGCTTCCAGAAGGGGACGTGCTAGAGGCAAAAGATCAATGATACTCACATCGATGTGTCTATCTCTTTCCCTCTCCCTTCTTCTCTAGGGAACTTTAAAAAAAATGAGCCATATTTTAAAATTCAAGTTTTGCCTGCCCAGTGTTGCTCAGTGGTTAAGTATTGAGCCATGAACCAAGAGGACACTAGTTGGATTCCAGATCAGGGCACATGCCCAGGTCTCAGGCTGGATCCCCAGTGGAGGGAGTGCAGGAGGCTGATGTTCAATGATATTTCTCATCAAATTCTCTCTATCCCTCTTCCATCCTCTCTCTTTAAAAACTGATAAACACCATCAAGCATAGGAAGATTGGAGGATAGGTGACAGATTTAAGAAAATATATATTTATTGATTTTTTACAGAGAGAGAGGGATAGAGAATTAAAAACATTGATGAGAGAGAATCATCAATCAGCTGCCTCTTACACACCCCCTACTGGGGATGTGCCCGCAACCAAGGTACATGCCCTTGACCGGAATCGAACCTGGGACCTTTTAGTCCCCAGGCCGACGCTCTATCCAATGAGCCAAACCGGTTTCGGCAGATGACAGATTTTATGTATATTTTGTTTCCCAAAGAAATTCACATCTGCAAATGATGAGTCATGAAAAAGAAAAATAATCTAAGTTTTTTTGGATGGCAACCTTCTCTTATTATACCACTATCATATTTCATTTCCTCCTGTCTGACCCTCTACTTCCCTTCTACCTCTAATTCTGGTATTATTTTTTAAAATATTTCTTTACTGATTTCAGAGAGAAGTGGAGAGGGAGATACAGAATCATTAATGATGAGAATCATTGATGGGTTGCTTCCTGCAAGCCCTGTCCTGGGAGTCAAGCCCACAACATGGGGCATTTGCCCTGACAGGGAATTGAACCATGACCTCCTAGTTCCTAGGTTCAACCTCTACCATGGAGCCAAACTGGCTGAACTCTTTTCTTTCTTTTTTCTGTTTTTAATCCTCACCTTTGGATGTTTTCCCATTAACTTTTAAAGAGTGAAAGAGAGAGGGAAAGACTGAAACATCCATGTGAGAGAAACACATCAATTGGTTGCCTCCTGAACACCCCATGACCAGGGTCCTGGCCAGAGAGAACCCTGAAACCAAGGTACCTGCCCTGGACAGGAATTGAACCTGAACCCTTCAGTCCACAGTCTGGTACTCTATCCATCAGGCAAGCCGAGGAGGCTAAAAAATATTTTAAAATAGGGAGCCCAGCCCCCGCTGACTTATTCATTGCTAGCAAAATCAAGTATAAATAAGACTAACAACAAGGGGGTGAACATGTTACTGGGAGAGGAGACCTAGGTTCTTGTTTCCTTGAGGAAAAGATTCCCATCAAGTGACAAAGTGGAGAAAAGCAGGCAAGAATTTGATCATAGCAAAAGTGTACTCAGGACAATGAAACAAGGACATAAAGAACCAGCAGCAGAGCTTAGGCTGGGCTGCTTTGGCTTTCTGGGAAGTCTAGAGAAGGGGGAAAGGGACCTTGCAGACAGGTCCAGGGGCTTGGCCCAGGATGAGGTACTGCTGCCCATTGCTTCCCTGGCTGCAAGTCTCATGGGATCCCTTGGAGGTTAGGGGTCTGTCCCCAGGCGTGGGGTGAATAGAGTGGGAAGAGGATGGCATGGGCATGGACTCTGGGTGTTTCTGAAGTTTGAAAGGGAGGGTACTTTGTGAGATCATATGGTTGGAAATAGAATATTCACTAGCTTTATGTTGATGCACCAAAATGAGATTCTCTTAACTGGATTTCTATTATCTGCCCCCCTGACTTAGCTATTTACCCTCTGGTTGGGGAGGAGAAGTGCAAACCATTTATCCCTAAGTGTCCTTAGTTTAGGGAAGATGGGATTTACTAGGTGGCTTCAAACTGCTTATAACTTTAGGTATTAAGTTTCCTTATTCCATCTGTCCTGGAATTTCCATAGCTTCTTATCAAACATAATATTCTATGCAGATGATATTATACAACTGCTCACCAGAAAGCTATATAATTTCATTGTCACCTCAATAAATTAAATCAAAGAACAAGAACATTAATATGCTCAGATATGCCTCAAGTTTATCAATGATTCCCTATACACACATTTGCTACTAAAAATTGAAAGTGTCTAAAAAAATGTGTTACAACTCAAATGAGTACAAGAATACAGTATATGCCATGGCATAATTTTTTTAAAGGTGTGTTTTATTTTATATACATAATTATTGATTTCAGAGGCAGGGAGAGGGAGAGAGATAAACACATCAACAATGAGATAGAATCATTGATCAGCTGCTTCCAAATGCTTCCCACTTGAGCACGTGCCCTTGACTGGAATTGAACCCCAGACCCATCAGTCCTCAGGCTGACACTCTTTCCACTTAGGCAAGGCAGCCAAAACCGCTTCATAATCCTTAATAATACCAGAAAGACCTGGATTTGATCGGCAATCACTACAGTCACAATCAATTATTGGCTCACGCTAGAAAAAAAAAGAGAGAAAGAAATGGATTAATGTGTTATGACTAATGAAATGATCAAATGTTCCCTCAAATCTAAAAAGCCTTAGGAATACGGTACACTAAAATGTAAAACACATAACCTTTGTGGTGGTGGGGAGGAGGTAGAATTGAAATGCATGAGTACCAAAGAGTACCAGCCCATGGGCCATTTATAAGGCTAACAAGCTGTTGATTATCAATCAGGGGTTTGTCCATTACCACCCAGTATTGGCATGAGCATCCAGTTTGTGACAGCATATAGACAAGTAAACATACACCAAGAGACATGTAAACTATATTTGGGTGATGATAATGCCTCAATGTAGATTCAGCACCTAAAGCACTGGTACTCTGGTGTGGGATGCTGAGAGTGGAGGAGGCTATGAGAGTGTGTGGGGTCAGAAGGTCCATGGGAATTCTGCATTTTTCTGCTTAATTTTGCTGTGAGCCTAAAGCAGCTCTAAAAAGATAATATTTACATTATGAGCACCTCCACCCTCCCTGGGGAGAACTGCAGGCCCAGATCATATAAACTCACCTTGTTCTTCTTGCGGTTTTGAATAGCCTCATTCCTTCGCCTCAGCCATATTGAAAACAGGCCTTTGAGGTCTCTTTTAAGACTTGCCATGGTCCTCACTCCACGTCTCCTCCTGTAGACCAGGCCATAACTCCTTGTCAGTACATATTCTTCTGTGTCCTGTTGGGGTGAAAGGTTTCCTGGAAGGGAAGGAAATTAGGGTTGAGAGTCCAAGTTACTAAGGTTCTTTGCTAGTGCTTCTGACAGAGCTAGAGTGTCAGCTGAAAGAAAAGGAGTTTCAGACCCATTACCCCCAAGCCACTAGTCTGGTCTCAGGCTCAAACTAGGCCTGCCCTTACACAGGGGAACATAGACAGGGGGAGGTTTCTCAGGCGGAGGAATCCTTCTACCCTCTGTGTTTACTGACTGTGCTAGTGGAGAACTCTGGAGAGCATACATTGAGAACATGCTCTAAAACCCACTATTCTGGCAAACAGTACCTTCAGACCTTGCTTTTTTCTGCTTTTGTTAGTTCTGAACGTAGCTAAATGCATAATTCTGAGTGGAAGATTATGAGACAGAAAGTAGGTACTGGCAGTTATTCCATTGTCATTTGTGCAAATGTTTAATAGAAATGAGGGAATGTAAAGCATTAATAAATGTCAAAGTCTTTCTGCAGTTCAACTTTGTAACTGTAACTCTACTAAAGTTTTCTAACAAAAGACCCACTCCAGCCGAAACCGGTTTGGCTCAATGGATAGAGTGTCAGCTTGGGGACTGAAAGGTCCCGGGTTCGATTCCGGTCAAGGGCATGTACCTTGGTTGCGGGCACATCCCCAGTAGGGGGTGTGCAAGAGGCAGCTGATCGATGACTCTCTCTCATCAATGTTCCTAACTCTCTATCCCTCTCTCTTCCTCTCTGTACAAAATCAATAAAATACATTATAAAAAATAAAAAAAAAAGACCACTCCAGTGAAAAAGCCAAAGAAATCTCACTTAAAATAATCTCTCCTCAGCTTTAAGCAGAGCTAGGAAGCAGAAATGGCTAGTACCCAGATTGTTCATGGTAGTAAATCTCTCTACTCAAACCCAATATTATGGGAAGCCAACCACTTTAACTCATGTCATACAATGAGGCTGTGAGTGGGCTTACAATGGAATTTAAAACTTTCTCAGCAGTGCTCCAGGATACTGCTAAGTAGGTCCCCACCTTCCTGCCTCCTTCCTGGGGCCTATTTTTTCTGGGAGCCTCACCCACTCCCAGGCTCACTCCTCTGGAACAAAATGGTGGCTGAGCAGTGCTGGTGGTGGTGTAGGATCTGGTGCACACTCACCGGCCCCTCTCTTCTGCTACCTGAAAAGCCACCATTTTCCTGTTTATCAACATCCCCTAAAGGGTAAATTTAGCCAGAAAGCCAATCCTGAAAAATGTTGGCAAGATTAAAAAATGCTGCCCGGCTGGCATGGCTCAGTGGTTGAGCATAGACCTATGAAACAGGAGGCTGTGGCTGGATTCCCTATCAGGGCACATGATCCCCAGTGGGCCATGTGCAGGAGGCAGACAATCAATGATTCTCTCAACATGGACCTTTCTATCTCTGTCCCTCTCCTTTCCTCTCTGAAATCCATAATAAAAACACATACATATATAACCTTTAGTTTAAATTGAAGTTAAAGATCCACAGCCAGAGAAGCATTGATCAGACCATCAAGCCTCAGAGGGAAGGTGGGGGTTGGGCGGTGGGGGATAAGGAGGGGAGATCAACCAAGGACTTGTATGCATGCATGTAAGCCTAACCAATGGACACAGACACCAGGGGGGTGAGGGCATAAATATGGGGGGTGGGGGGGAGGCAATGGGGAGATAGACACATATGTAATACTTTAATCAATAAAAAAAAAAAATAAATTGAAGTTAAGTCCCTTATGTTTTCTTCCTTTTCACCAGATCCTACACCATCACAAGGCCTGTGTTACTGAAGAAAGTACTGATTTCAAGACCCTAGGAGCCATTCTAGCAGAATTTTGGTTGCTTTTCCCCAGAAAGTGGGCTGAAAAGATTGAAATGTTCCTAAGCATAGGAAGCAAGCAGAGCTTCCTCTTTTTCCTTTGTCCCCTCTATGCCTCTTCCCCCACTGGAGGGGCCTCCTTAGCTGTATTCTTCTTTTAAAAAAAAATATATATATATTTTATTGATATTTTACAGAGATGAAGGGAGAGAGATAGAGTCGTTGAGAGAGAAACATCGACCAGCTGCCTCTCGCACACCCCCCACCGGGGATGTGCCCGCAACCAACGTACATGCCCCTGACCAGAATCGAACCTGGGAACTTTCAGTCCGCAGACCAATGCTCTATCCACTGAGCCAAACCAGTTTCGGCTGTATTCTTTTTTAAAACACTGAAGGCTCCCCTCTCCCACTAAGGAAGGAGGCCAGGTTCTTCACTGTCCCCCCAAAATACAGCACCTGTCTTACCAGAACCTTCTTCATTGGACTGCTGAGAAGAGGACCCCGTGGAGGGGCGGTTAAGCTCCGCTGGTGAAGCCATTGCTCGCCCAGTTGCAGGCTGGAGTTCCTCCTAGAATCCGGACGCAGAGTTCCAGCAGGAAGTGGTGCTCCAAAACCTCCAGTGGTTACCAAGTGCAGAGGATCGACTTCTGGGGAAAGTGAATTACAAAATGCTGGTGAGCCAATCAAGAAGCACTTTTTGAATGTAAATGACCGATGACTGAAAAGATTAAGGTGGGTGGGAGTATCCTTGTTGTTAGTGGGTTCATAGAAAATTCTTCTTCTAAATGAGGAACCTTTGTAATAATATGAACAATAAAGATTGATAAAAAAAAGAAAAAGAAAAGAAAATTCTTCTGCTTTCCAGAAGATAACCATGCCCTTAGGCTGGAAAATTTATCAGGAGCTTCTATGGGTGTATCCTTAAAATTTAGTGGTGGTGGTGTTTTTTTTTTTTTCCTCCCTAATTCTACTCCCGGAGAGGACTACTGGAGTGTGAACCAGACTTGGTTTTTTCTAGAGCAGAGCAGAAAAGGGCAGTTTCCCCCCATTTTCGGATTAACTCCCATTTAAGTGAACTGAGAAAGTTTCCTTAATGCTTTCCTTGTCTGGCTCATCCTCAATCTTCGATGCTTCTCCAGGGAAGTCTGATAGGGAGCGAAAGTAGAGAAGTGTCATTATCAACAGCTGATTAGTTTGATCTTTTTGGATGTGTGTTTTTGGTCTATAATTGTTTTGTTTTAGAAGCTGCACCTTTAAATGCATTTAACATTTTCAAGCAACTGAAATTAACCTGCTTAATTACTGGCCTTCCCCCCAATAGTTGTATTGAATTCTAGCAAAGAGCACCAACATGAACTGATTTTCTTCTTTTTTTCTTTCTGAAAACAAGTTTTATTGAAATAAGGGTTTAAATACATCACATAACGTTAAAACTGAAGGAAGGGGGGGGAACACCCCAAAAATCAGTTTGTTACTTCACATGGCATTGGGCAGCTGTTGCTAGTTAGTTGCAAGGTCTATAGCCAGCTACGTGACTCACACGTTAGTTTGAAATTTGTTCCCTTGTGCCAGGACCGGTTTGGCTCAGTGAAATTTGTTCCCTTGCCAAAAGTTTAACTGTGATAGAAGGTTGGCCTCAAATACAACAATGAGCTAGGATATGTCTGGTCAAAAAGACCTTGGTGGCAAGCCCGAAGTCCTTATCCCCTCCTTAGAGGGAAGGTGGTAGGCTGCTCCAAGCCCCATCTACCCGGTCAGGTTGTAGATCTTGGACTACCGCCGGCGCCCTCTAGTGGTGCAGATGCTGCAGCTGCCTCACCCCTCCTCCGCCTCACGGAAGACTGTTCAGGCAGTGATATTCCCTGGGGGCAGGGAACTCTGCTGAGGAGCTTCTGGCCAGACTTGGGCTAGGCTGAAACGTCAGGTCGGTTCTTTTTTAATTTTAATTTTATTTTTTGGAAACATTGGGTTACATCTTTCTTAAAAAAAATTATATATATATATATATATATATATATATATATATATATAGTTGATTTTTTACTGAGAGGAAAGGATAGGGATAGAGTACTAGAAACATCGATGAGAGAGAAACATTGACCCCTGATGTGCCCACAACCAATGGAGATGCCTTTGACCAGAATCAAACCTGGGACCTTTCAGTCCGACACTCTTCCACAGAGCCAAACAGACTTTGGGTTTTTTGTTGTTGTTGTTTGTGTGTGTGTTTTTCATCATGTTATTATTGCTTTGTTTCAGGCTGGACACTGCCAGGCCCCTACTGCTTGACCTCTGTTGAAATAAGGGACTTCAAGACTAGACAGCATGGCTCTTTTTAAAAATATATATTTCTTTTATTGATTTCAGAGAGGAAGGGAGAGGGGGAGAGAGAGTGACATCTCAACGGAGAAACGGTAGGAACATCCTTACTACTGTCCCAGGGATCGCTGATGATTACGATAAAAAGAAATGAGTGAAGGCCTTTAAGACGAAATTTGTGGGCAATGGTACTATCAGTGAGCATCCAGAATTGAAATGGAGAAGTACCCGTATTTTTCGGACCATAAGACGCTCCGGACCATAAGACGCACCAGTTTTTAGAGAAGGGAAATGAAGAAAAAAAGATTCTGAAACAAATAGTGTCCTAAAATATTTTATGTGCATTAAAACCCAACATCACAGTCATAAACACATGTAATCAACCCTGTAAAGTAAACAGCAGCATTTAGAACCATTTTAGAGCCGGGCAAGCACACAGAGACCACACAGAGCTGGGCAAGTAAAAAAACTTTTTTTTAAAGTATATATGTAGGCTATATTTGGACCATAAGACGCAGGGACTTTTCCCCCCCACTTCTGGGGGAAAAAAAGTGTGTCTTATGGTCCGAAAAATACAGTAATTCAGCTGCAGGGTGACAGTGCAAGAACATATGCCAGTGCCTTGAAGAGACTGGACTGGCTAAGGACGAGAAGCTCAGTGTTTGTTCATGGGTTCTAAAGCTTTTGGCTCACTGAAGCCTCAGTGAGGATTTCTTTGCAATGAGTAGAATTTCCCTTTTGTCCCTTGTCACAAGCTTAAAAACCTCACCCCTTATATAATGTAACCATGTGGGGTCTGCTTTTCACTTGGACTAGTGTGACTCCTTCGTGCAATAAACTGAAAAGAGCCCTGCTGGCCCTCGCCAGTTTGGCTCAGTGGACAGAGCGACGGCCTGCAGACTGAAGGGGCCCAGGTTCGATTCTGGCCAAGGGCACATGCCAGAGTTTCAGGCATGATCCCCACTGGGGGTTGTGCAGGAGGAAGCCAATCAATGATTCTCTTTCAACATTGCTGGCTTATTCACCCCCAACTGCCCTCCTCTGCCTGCCTGATTGCCCACAACTGTACTCCCCTGCCAGTCACGTTGTGGTGGCCATCTTGTGAGGATGTGAAGGTAGCCATATTGTGACTATGTGATGGTGGCCACAATCCTTTTATTATATAGGATTGCCTTTATGAAACCAAGGTCCTTCTAGGAGAAGCTTACATTTTCTTTCCCTGTACCTTTCAGAGACAAATACCTGGTCTTCTTTTAAAAAGCTTATTTGAGTCATATTTTAAAATGCAGTTTTGCTTGCCCAGTGTGGCTCAGTGGTTAAGTATCCAGCCATGAACCAAGAGGACACTGGTTGGATTCCAGGTCAGGGCACATGCCCAGGTCTCAGGCTGGATCCCCAGTGGAAAGGAGTGCAGGAGGCTGATGTTCAAAGATGTTTCTCATCAAAGCCTCTCTATTCCTTTCCCATCCTCTCTCTTTAAAAACCAATAAAAATCTTCAAGCATATGAAGGTGGGAGGGTAGATGACAGATTTTATGTATATTTTGTTTCCCAAAGAAATTCACATCTGCAGATGATGGGTCATGAAAAAGGAAAATAACATGAGTAAAATACCATTGGACGGCAACCTTCTCTTACTATATCATTATCATATTTTATTCCTCCTGTCAAAACCCCCTACTTTCCTTCTACCTCTAACTCTGATATTATTCTTTTACATTTCCTTATTGATTTCAAAGAGGAGTGGAGAGGGAGATACAGAAACATTAATGATGAGAATCATTGATGGGCTGCTTCCTGCAAACCCTGTCCTGGGAGTCAAGCCCACAACATGGGGCATTTGCCTTGACAGGAATTGATCCTGGTTCCTAGGTCCAACCTCAACCCAAACTGACTTGGTTCCCTATTTTTTTGTTTGTTTTTAATCCTCATCCTAGGATATTTTCCCATTAATTTTTAGAGAGAGGGAAAGACAGAAACATCCGTGTGAGAGAAACATGAAATGCTTGCCTCTTGTACCCCCTGACCAGGGCCTTGGCCAGAGAGGTGCCTGAAGCCAAGGACAGGAATTAAATCAGGGACCTTTCAGTCCAAAGACTGACACTCTATCCACTGAGGCAAACCAGGTAGGGCTAAAAAAAATATTATTTAAAACAATAGGGAGCACAGCCTTTGCCAGTTAGTTTATTGCTAGCAAAATCAAACATAAAACAAGGACTAAGAACAAGGTGGCGAATATGTTACTGGGAGAGAAAACCTAAGTGTTTTTTGTGGGGTTTTTTTAACCTAAGTTCTTGTTTTCTTGAAAGATTTCCATAAAGTAACAAAGTGGAGAAAAGCAGGCAAGAATTTGATCATAGCAAAAGCATACTCAGTACAATGAAACAAGGGCATAAAGAACCAGCAGCAGAGCCTAGGCTGGGCTGCTTTGGCTTTCTGGGAAGTCTAGAGAAGGGGGAAAAGGGACCTTGCAGACAGGTCCAGGGGCTTGGCCCAGGATGAGGTGCTGCTGCCCATTGCTCCCCTGGTGGCGAGTCTCCAGGGGCCCCTTAGAGGTTAGGGGATATGTTCCCAGGGGTGGGTGAATAGAGGGGGAAGAGAATGGCATGTGTAAGGTCTTTGGGGACTTCATATTCAGGGATTTGAAAGGGTGGGTCTTTAGTAGAGCTTATGGGTGGGAATAGACTATTCACTAGCTTTATGCTGAAGCACCAAAATGAGATTTATTCTCTTAACTGGATTTCTATTGTCTGCCTCCCTGATTTAGGTTGATTTAAGCTACCTACCCTCTGGCTGGGGAGAAGTGCAAACCATTTACCCTTTAAGTGTCCTTGGGACTTACTAGATGGCTCCCCAACTATAGGTCTAAGATCCCCCAACCCTCTTGTCCTGGAATTTTTATAGCTTCTTAACTGCACAATATAGTATACCAGTGATGTATCATACAACTGTACACCAGAAAACTATAATTTCATGTCACCCCAATAGATTCAAAAAGCAAGTATACACATGTCTCTGATGAACAGTATTAACTGGTGAGTATAATAGAATCAGGGATATAGGAAGGGAGTGGACCGGCAATTCTGGAGAAAAAGGGAAGTTGGGGATGTGGGAAGAGACTTGAACAAAAATCTATGGATGAGGACAGTGAGGGGAGGGGTAAGGGCAGAGGGTGGGGTAGGAACCTGGTGGAGGGGAGATAAGGCGGAGAAAAAAAGAGGAACAATTGTAATAATCTGAACAAAATGATTTATTTAAAAAAAAAGAATAACTTTACTTTAAAATTATGTTAATAAACATTTTGATTTCTAAAAATCTTTAATAAAAAAGAATACACATGTCTCATATATGCCTCAAGTTTATTAAAGATGCGCTATACACACATTTGCTACTAAAAATGGAAATAACACACCAAAAAATGTGTTACAAATTAAATGAGTGGTACAAGAATATGGTGTATGCCTAAAATGTCTCCATGTCACAATTCTCAGCAATACCAGAAGGAGCACCTCGATGTAATAGGCAATAACTACAGCCACAATGAAACACAGGTTCTTTCTGGAAAAAAAACACACAAAGAGGATTGTGTTATGAGTAATGAAACGAACAAATGCTCCCTCAAATCTAAATAGCCTTTGGAATACGGTACACTAAAAGGCAAAAAACAAAACCTTTGTGGTGGTGGGGAGGAGGATTGAAACAGGTGAGTACCAAAGAATACCAGCCCATGGGCCATTGGTAAGGCTAACAGCTGCTGATTGTCAATCAGGGGTTTGTCCAATATCGCCCAGTATTGGCATGAGCATCCGGTTTGTGACAGCATATAGAGAAGTAAACATACACCAAGAGACATGTAAACTATATTTGGGTGTTGATAATGCCTCAATGTAGATTCATCACCTAAAGAACTGGCACTCTGGTGTGGGATGCTGAGAGTGGAGGAGGCTATGAGAGTGTGTAGGGTCAGAAAATCCATGGGTATTCTGCATTTTCTGCTCAATTTTGCTGTGAGCCTAAAACATTTCTAAAAAGATATTATATTATGAGCATCCCCACCCTCCCTGGGGAGAACTGCAGGCCCAGATCATATAAACTCACCTTGTTCTTCTTGCGGTTTTGAATAGCCTCATTCCTTAGCCTCAGCCATATTGGAAACAGGCCTTTGAGGTCTCTTTTAAGACTTGCCATGGTCCTCACTCCACGTCTCCTCCTGTAGACCAGGCCATAACTCATCCCCACTACATACTCCGATTTTTCTTCTTTTCTGTCCTGCTGTTGGGGTGAATGATTTTGTGGAAGGGAAGAGAACTGAATACTAGGGTTGAGAGACAAGTTACTAAGGTTCTTGGCTAGTGCTTCTGAGACGGCTTGAGAGTCGGCTGAAAGAAAAGAAATTTTAAGATCCATTACCCCCAAGCCACCAGTCTGGTCTCAGGCTCAAACTAGGCCTGCCCTTACACAGGGGAACATGGACAGGGGGAGGTTTCTCAGGTAGAGGAATCGTTCTACCCATTGCGTTACTGACTGTGCTAGTGGAGAACTCTGCACAGTGGAGGGCATACATTGAAAATGTGCTCTAAAACCCACTATTGCCTTAGCCAGTTTGGCTCAGTGGATAGAGTGTCAGCCTGCGGACTGAAGGGTCCCAGGTTCAATTCTGGCCAAGGGCACATGCCTGGGTTGCAGTGGGAGTCGTGCAGGAAGCAGCCGATCCATGATTCTCTCTCATCATTGTTCTTCTCTCCCTCTCCCTTCCTCTCTGAAATCAATAAAAATATATTTTAAAAAAATAAAAAATAAAACCCACTATTCTGGGAAATAGTGCCTTCAAACTTTTCTTTTTCCTGTTTCTGTTAGTCCTGAATGTCATATTTTTTATGAAGTCAAAAGTAGCTAAGTACATAATTCCAAGTGGAAGATTATGGGACAGAAAGTAGGTACTGGCAGTTATTCCATTGTCGTTTGTGTAAATGTTTAATAGAAACGAGGGGGCGTAAAGCATTAATTTTAAAGTCAAAATCTTTCTGCAGTTCAACTTTGTAACTGTAACTCTACTAAAGTTTTCTAACAAAAGACCCACTCCAGTGAAAAAGCCAAAGAAATCTCACTTAAAACAATCTCTCCCCAGCTTTAAGCAGAGCTAGGAAGCTGAAATGGCTAGTACCCAGATTGTTCATGGTATTAAATCTCTCTACTCAAACCCAATATTATGGGAAGCCAACCACTTTAACTCATGTCATACAATGAGGCTGTGAGTGGGCTTACAATGGAATTTAGGACTTTCTCAGAAGCATTGCTCCAGGATACTGCTAAGTAGGTCCCCACCTTCCTGCCTCCTTCCTGGGGCCTATTTTTTTCTGGGAGCCTCACCCACTCCCAGGCTCACTCCTCTGGAACAAAATGGTGGCTGAGCAGTGCTGGTGGTGGTGTAGGATCTGGTGCACACTCACCGGCCCCTCTCTTCTGCTACCTGAAAAGCCACCATTTTCCTGTTTATCAACATCCCCTAAAGGGTAAATTTAGCCAGAAAGCCAATCCTGAAAAATGTTGGCAAGATTAAAAAATGCTGCCCGGCTGGCATGGCTCAGTGGTTGAGCATAGACCTATGAAACAGGAGGCCATGGTTGGATTCCCGGTCAGGGCACATGCCCGGAGTTTCATGGTTGATCCCCAGTGGGCCATGTGCAGGAAGCAGACAATCAAAGAGTCTCTCTCAGCCTGGGTATCTCTCTCTCTCTCTCTCTCTCTCTCTTTCTTCTCTGAAATACATAATAAAAAAACTATATAAACCTGAGTTTAAATTGAAGTTAAGTTTCTTTTTTTTTTTTTAAATCTATTTTATTGATTTTTTACAGAGAGGAAGGGAGAGAGATAGAGAGCTAGAAACGTTGATGAGAGAGAAACATCGACCAGCTGCCTCTTGCACACCCCCTACTGGGACGTGCCCGCAACCAATGTACATGCCCTTGACCGTAATTGAACCTGGGACCTTTCAGTCCGCAGACCGAAGCTCTACCACTGAGCCAAACCGGTTTTGGCTGAAGTTAAGTTTCTTGTCTTTCCTCTTTAGCCCCTGTGCTTTCCCCGCCACTGGAGGGGCCTACTTAGCTGTATTCTTTATATATATATTTAATTTATTTTTTTACAGAGAGGAAGATAGAGGGATAGAGAGTTTGAAACATCAATGAGAAAGAGACATTTATCAGCTGCCTCCTGCACACCCCCAATTGGGGATGTGCCTGCAACCAAGGTACATGCTCTTGACTGGGACCTTGTTTAGTCTGCAGGCCGACACTCTATCCACTGAGCCAAACTGGCTTTAGCTAGCTGTGTTCTTCTTTAAAACACTGAAGGCATCCCCCTAAGGAAGGAGGGCAGGCTGTTCACTTCCCCAACCTTTGTTGCCCAAAAGGGCCGCATGTGTCTTACCTGAATATCCTTCATGGGACATCGGAGAAAGTGTATCCATTGGTGAATCCATTGCGAGTCTAGTCACGGCCTGAAGTTCCTCCTGGAGCCCGTCTGCAAAGAGTTCAAGCTGAAGGTGATGCTCGAAACTCACAAGCAGCTACCAAGTAACCTGGAGAGAACAGGAGTGAAATGCGGGGAAAGAGCTAAGCTAAATAACGCCCGTGAGCCAATCGACAAGCCCCTTCGAATGTAAATGACTGATGACGAAAGAGTTTAAGGTGGGAGTAATCCTGTCCGTGGATTAATAGAAAATCCTGCATCTGCTTTCCAAGGATAATCATGCCCTCTGGCCCTGAGGCTGGGAAATTTATCTGGAGTCTCGATGGGTGTATCCTTAAAACTCTGTGTTGTGGCTTTTTGTTTATTTTGTGTGTGTATTTTATGCCCCCTCCCTCCCCGCCCCCGCCCCCAAAATTCTACTTCGAGAGATGACTACTGGTTTGTGACCCGGACTAGGAATGTTCTAGAGCAGAAAAGGGCAGTTTCCCTCCACTTTCGGGTTAACTTCCAATTACGTTAACTGAGAAAGTTTCCTTAACATTTTCTTGTCTGGCCCATCCTAAACCTTTGATGCTTCTATCTAAGGGGAAGTCTGCTAGTAAGGGAAAGTAGAGAAGTGTCATAAACAGCTGATTGGCTTGATATTTTATGGATGTGTATTTTAGATCTATAATTTCATTTTATAAGCTACACCTTTAAATGCAGTTAACATTGTTAAGCAGCTGAGATTAATTAAATTTATAATTGCGGCTCCTTCCCCCAATACTTGTACTGAATTCTAGCAAAGAGCACCAACAATAACTGCTGATTTTCTACAGGAAGTAGAACAAATCCCCAGCCGTCCCAATCTTTTTCTCATCTCCAGTTCGATGCACAACCTTCCCATTCCCCACTTTAGCTGGAAACTATGAGAAAATATTCAAAAGCAATCTTGTTTCTTTTTAGTAAAACCTAACAGGAGACATTATAATCAAGAAATACTTTTGTAGGGGCCTGGCTGGTTTGGGCCAGTAGTTAGAGCACATGTGTCAAACACAAGGCCCGCGGGCCAAATCCGTCCCGCCAGGCCTTGCAATGTGGCCCGCACCGCGCTGTCATCACTGCACTCCGCTGCGTTTCCATCACAATGACAGTTTATGACTGTTCAGTAAACCATTCGGCCCGCGATTTAGGCTGGATTTTAGATTTTGGCCCCTTCTCTGATTGAGTTCGACACCCCTAAGTTAGAGCATCAACCTGAGGACTGAGGGGTCTCAGGTTGGATTTCTGGTCAAGAGCAAGTACCTGGGTTCCAAGTTTGATCCCTGTGCCTTGGTGGGGTGGGTGTGGGAGGCAACCAATGTATGTGTGTCTCTCATATATATATTTCTCTCTTCCTCCCTCTCTCTCTCTCTCTCTCTCTCTCTCTCTCTCTCTCTCTCTCTCTCTTTCTCTCTCTCTCTTCCTCCCCCTCCTCCTTCCACTCTCTAAATAGCAATGGAAAAAATATTCTTGGATGAGAATTAACAAAACAAACAAACAAAAAAGAAATATTTTTGTAGGGGATGAAGAGTGTCACACCACTTGATTCAAATGGTTCTTAAAAGCATGGCCTCCAGACCGGCCATGGTAATTGGTTAGATATGATTATTATAATTAGCTCCAACCTGAACCTACTGAACCAAAGACTGGGGTCCTCACTCATCATTTTAAAGTTCCCTGGTGTTTCAAATGTACGCTAAAGTTTAAGAAGAACGGCTTTTGGCTTTCTTAACGTTCTCCCTCTATTGTTCATCTCTCCGCTGTTCTCCTTTTTGCCCTGAGACCATCTCCTGCAATGGTCTCTGCGACTTCCAGTGGAGAAGTGAGAGTAAAAATCAGATTGCAGGAGATTTAAGATATAGAGGTAAGACAGTGAAAAGGGCTGGCATTTTATTCAAGAAATCCAGGTTTGCCCAGCTGGTGTTGCCCAGTGGTTGAGCTTCAACCTATAAACCAAGAGGTCAATTCCAGGTCAGGCCACATGCATGGGTTGCTGGCTTAATCCCCAGTGTAGGGCTTGCAGGGGGCAGCTGAGCAATGATTCTCTCTCATCATTAATATTTCTATCTATATCTCTTTCTTTTCATTCCTCTCTGAAATATATAGAAATCCAGGTTTAAGGAAAAGGTGAGAGAAGCATATCTATAGGAAGGTGTTGGGGGGATAGATGAAGGAGGTTCAGTTTAATGAAACCTCACAGAAGCTGAGCATGAAGTAACAGAAGGTTAAAATACGAAGAGGATTGTTCAGAAACACAATCCCTAAAATATACTTTAAAAGATCAGATAAAAAAAATTTTTTTAAATTGATAACAGCTCTCTATTTAATATGTTTTTCCTTTATAGCTCAAAAGAGGATATAAAAAGCCAAACAGAAAAAAAGCTACTTGAAAAAAAACAAACAAAACCCACAACTGACTATTACTCAAGAATTAAAAAATTAGCCTGGCTGGTGTGGTTCAGTGGTTGAGCACTGACTTATGAACCAGGAGGTCACAGTCCCTGGTCAGGGCACAGGCCTGGGTTGTAGGTACGATCCTTAGTGTGGGGCAGGAGGCAGAAGATCAATGATTCTCTTTCATCATTGATATTTCTCTCTCTCTCTACCTCTCAAGTCAATAAAAAAATATATTTTTAAAAAGAGATAAAAAATTACATATTTTTTTGGGGGAAAAAAAAAAAAAAAAAAAAGCCGGGACCACTGGTTTGGCTTAGTGGATAGAGCGTCGGCCTACGGACTGAAAGGTCCTGGGTTCGATTCCGGTCAAGGGCATGTACCTTGGTTGCGGGCACATCCCCAGTGGGGCGTGCGCAAGAGGCAGCTGATCGGTGATTCTCTCTCATTGATGTTTCTAATTCTCTCCCTC